CGAAGTCATAACCTGAGTGTGATGGTGAACTTAAGCTCTGTGAAGGCCGAGAAAAGGTGGATTGTGGGCCTGGGAGTTGGGGAGAGTCGAGCTGCAGGTGAGAGAGTGTGGTATGCAGAAGCGCTGGGAAAGGTGGGGAGAAGCCTGTCGGGAGGGAACAAGTAAGCCAGGTAAGGACCAGAGGCCCAGCTGGGACTCGAGACCACACAGGAAGACAATGGAGACAGGGATAGGATGGAAACTCCCGCTGGACAATTTTAGTGCTTCTCTGGTAAGTTGGACACGGGATCACTAAGAGTGTGAAGGGCAGGGTATGAATCAGGGGTTTCAAGTGAGTGCAAGGTATCACAACACCCTTTTGGGGAATAAATAAGAGATTCTGGAAGCTCTCAATTCTACTATCACCACAGTCTCCTCGCAATTCATCCAAAAATGATTTCCATTTCTTTCTGAAGTAAACGTTGGTACTTCAGCCCTCCCTAGAAATTATTTCCATATTTTTCTGTTTATATTTCTAAATGCATAGTTCTTTACACATATTGTTTCTAATTCTCATACATTTCTATATGTGTTACATTATTATGTTACATATTGTCTACATTATGTATTACCCTTAAATAATGCTTGGAATTACCTACCAAACCCTACCAAATAGGAATGTGCTCCTTTCCGATGAGGAAAGCCAGCATTGCTCTCTGCATGGGACCCCCGCCCCCACCCAGTTCTTAATTAAATTATGTTCTTGCAGTTCTTCTTGTGACACCCCTCTGTGAGTTAGAACACAATGCCTTGCGTTCTCCAAATCCCCCCTCCACCGCCCACCCGTCAGGCCCAGGTTCACCTACTTTATCTTAACAAATCTAAGGGGTGATTGTAATTAAGCTTTGTTCCTGTGTCTCCACTCTTACTAAGCTAGGTAAACCTGTTGTTTCAGCTCAGACCTTCCATGGTTTTATGGGAGCAAATCTGGGCTATTTTATTGATTGCACCTCAGTGGGAAGTGAGCCTTCAGCTTTAATTAACCAGGAGCAGAAAGTTGCTGAGGACACAGGGCCTTGGAAGCGGCTCTGAGCCAGGGTCGGGTGCTGCAGCATCAACTCAGGATGAAATGGCAAATGTGAAGTTTTCTGTGAGTTTTTGTTGTTCTTAGTAGGGAAGGCGAGAAAGAATTGGGATTTAAACCTGTGAAGTGGGAAAAAGAATGAAGTCCTTCAACAGTTCTTGATACTTTTTTGAGATTAGCTTGAATGACTAGAAAATTAAATGTGACAGTGACATAAAAGGTGACGCTTTAGAACACAGGAGTGTAGCTCAGTCCTGTATTCCTTATCTGTCATTTCACATCTCTATAAACATTGCTACGAATGGTATAACCAAGCTTGATGTGGCGATTTCGTCTTTTTCCATAAGGACTCCCCCTGCGTGGATTGACATTTCTAGGGTTTTGAAAACAGCTGCCAACATTTTAATGTTATAGTGAAGTCACATGACAAACTGTCAATATGTTCCTTGTGTGGAAAAAAGTTTGAGCTGAGTGTTCATTATCTTCACTTTAGATGGTTTTAGAAAGGAAATAAAGAGCTTGGCAGGGGTGTGGGATCCTTCCCTTATGTAAGCTGGCTTGCATCCCACCTCTTGTGGGTAGAGCAGAAATGGAAGGGAGGAAAATGGTGGTGCTGAATTTCTGCCCCCGGCTCCACATGGGAAGCAGCAGGAAGGCATCATGTTGATGAGTGAGGGAAAGACATGCGTAGTCACATGTGCTCTAAGGCCACCCAGCCGGCTCCTCCCGCTCCAGCTCTCATGGTTTACTCTCTGAAACACCCTACTGCTCCTCCAGAAGTAGCTTATCTTGATCAACAACCGCTTGGATAGAACCACGCGACATGCATAGTCACAAATTTGCCCCAGACCTCGCCTCCTTTCGGAAAGCCATTGCTGGCTTCTAACCTGGCTGTGCTGGAGGAGGAGACCAACCAGGAGGACAGAGAAGTACATGCATTCCTGTAGGGCTCGAGAACCACGTTCTATTGAATGATCTGCACAGTCAGTCTCCCTAGCCACCTCCCTTCAGAAGAGCAGGTCCTGCCACTGACAGGGACCTGAGTCTAAGCAAGAGCATGCTTTTTACTTTTGCTTCACTTTCAAAATGTTGTCTTATTGTTCCATCTACTGTTAAATTCTTAAATCATTACCATAAGCTAGCTTTCTTTTTAAAGATTTACTTATTTGTGCATACAGAACTGGGGTACAGGCCAGAGTTGCAGGGGCAGTGAGAGGCTTCACCAGAGACAGAGTGGGGAGCAGAACAGGCAGATCAGTGAAGTACATTCTGAGGGGAGCAGCGGGTGGGTCAGGAGAGGTCTGCTTCGCCATATGGGTCACCTCTGGGGGACAGGGATCGAACTCGCACGGAAGCAGCTGCACCCAGCCTGCAGTGCTGCGTCCTTATCTGTTATGGAGAGATATGCTTTATTTTCAGTGGACTTTCCCTTTCTTGTATCTTAAAAGGATTATTGAAAATGGGAAGACTTCCTTCAAGTAAAAAGTAAGTGTAGGTTATCTTGTCCAAAGTCCTTGGCCCCAGATTTTCACTGACAAACAAGAGGGAAGAACATTTCAGGTAGAGCAGTGATTGGGAACCAAGAACCAACATGCATGGCATGGAAAGGTGGTCTGGGAACAAATTGCGAATGTTGTTGATATCCTAACATTTGGAGTTTGGACTTCATTCTAGGGGCAGTGGAGAGCCTACAAAGGTTTCAGGAAATGAGAGACGGGATCTCATTTGTTCTTTAAGAAGTTGCCTTGATACCAGTTAGAGGATGGGTTGGAGGGAAGACCAGGATACAAATTAGGAGCAGTTTAAATAGCTTAGGACAGATGATGAGAACACAAATTGTGGTATAAGTGGGTCATACTGAAAAAATGGTGTTGGAGAAATATCCATGAGATTTAGTCATGAAAGGCAAAAAGATAACTTGGAGAAAAATAATGTTCCAAATTGTGAACCTAATAAAAAAAAAGGCACCATCAATCAAGAAGGCATTAGAGGAGAGAGATTTAGTCTGTGTGAAATACATTGACTTTGAAGTGTCCTGTGACATCTAAATGAAAGTGCCCAGACAGCTATAATCTTGGGCTTGGAGCTCAGAAAAGAATGACAGTGAAGAGGACTATTTGGGAGTCATTAGTATAGTCAAGGGAGGTGAGCTCACTGAAGTGTACGAGGTTGTCACAGGGAGAGTGCAGAGTATGGAAGAAGAGGTGACCTAGGACAGAACCTGGTAGTTAGGTGTGGTGGAAATAGAGATTGTGAAGGAACCATCTGAGTTAGAAGGGCCACCTTGCAGAAACCAAGGAAATCTTAAGCAAGAAGGAGCAACTGCTTAGAAAGAACATTGAAAAGAAGAATTCCCTCCTGAGCATAAGTAAGTCACTGGTGCCCTTTTGAGAAAGCAGTTTCCAAGGCATGAGAGGCAGGAATGAGACCCCAGTAGTTGAGGCACAACAAGGGTAGGGAAGCATAACTGGAGAACAAACACTGCTTGAGAGAGATTTTGTAGTTGAAGGGAGGAAGAGAAATGGAGCTGGAAGGGAAGAAACTTCTGCTTGGAGCTCATTAGTCCATAAAACATTTATATCCATTAGCTCACTTGATTCCCAAGAGAATTTGGGAAGTAGGCGGGGCTAATATTGATAAGCAGAACAAGAGGAGGCTAAGAAATGGTCAGATGTCTTGCCCAAGATCATCTATAGAAAATAAGTGGAGAACAGAGCTTAGAATTTAAGTCACTGCACTTTGAAACCAAGGATCTTTCCATCTTGACAAATTAGACCATTTCTAAAGTGTCTTATTTTGATATTGCATACTAGAACACAATCGAGCTCCTTGTTAAGGGATTTTGATTTTACCCAGGAGACACAGAGGAACAAATGGAAGGTTTTGTGCAGGGGAGTGCCCACGCCTGAGAGAGAAATTGGCCATGAGGTGTAGCGTGTGTTAATGGATCGGACAGTTCGGGGGGGTCAGAGTTTAAATAAGTGTCAAGTTGCCTGTTGAGAAAGTTGTTTCCCTTTCAGTTCTGTGTACCCTCTTCTGTTGTGTTAGGGAGAGGTTCTCAGTTTTAACAGTGTTAGGGAGAGGGTCAGTGTCTTTTAACGCCACTCAAAAAAATTCTAATTGTCTTCTGAATAGTAGAGAACCAGCCCCAGGCAGAGAACATCTGCCAAGAAATTGTGTCTTACTAGAACTGAATTACACTGCTTTGGATTGACTTCAGCTTTATGATTACCTACTACTTACGACAAATGGTGCTGATTTTCTCATTTATCATAATTACAGAAGGGTTAGGAGCTATAAGTAAAGGCAAATTAAGGAAAACTATTCTCAATTCTAAGGCAGCATAAACACGTAGGGTAAAACACTATGAATGTGTGTTCAAGTGCCTAAAGTTTGGGAAATTCTGGTCTTGGAGACTATTGCAATAAGGATAACAAAGGTTTAGTCCAGGATTGAATGACGTCATGGAAGTGCAGAAGACTCAGACATTTTAAGGGAGTTAAAGGAGAGGAGGACAGTTATCTGGGGGGTATTTTCTGCATTATTTCTCAGGATGCGTTGGCTGTCATGAGAGAAAACAAAAAATCTTGGGAAATGCTGCCAATTTATTAGCTCTTATAAGAAGATCTACCAAGGAAAGGCAGCTCCTGGGTTGGTTAAGTCATGGCTCATTGATCTCCACAAGGGCTCAGATTCCTTCCACCTCCCAACCTCCCAAAGGCTGACATGGTTGAGCAAGTCGATCCTGATACAGGGTGCTTTAGTGCGAGGAGAGGACTCATCCAGAGTGGAAGAGGGAATGGTACAGAAGCCTTTCCCTGAGGGCACCTCTATGCAAAGATTTCCCTTCAGGATTCATTGCCCCTAGTTATGTCAGCGACCAATCGTACAATTCAGTTACACTAATTAGGATTTATTCTCAGTGCCAGGAATAGTGTCCTTTCCCGATCCTCCAAGATACCAAGGGTTCTGTTCGCAAATATGGCAACCAACTGTGTCTTTTACAACTTTTACAGTGGCCCTGGAATTTTTCAAATTAACTGGAACATAAATAGGAAATTCTTGAGGCTTGTGGTTTCTTATTTTTAAAAGGTTTACTTAGCTCTTCTCTCCATGTGTTGGATTATGGCACAACGAAATACTTCCACTGCAAAGTCAACTTCTGGTTTAGTGATGCACATTGAGGGCGCGATGCGGAATGTCTGAAGAGATAAAGGAAAATAGAGCAGTGGAGATTCACAGAATCAACTATGACTGAGGGTACAGACTAACCTGACCGTGCTACATTTCTCAGTGCGACAAGGTGAAGAAAAGTAGAAGATACAAGAGAACACAGGTGTTTCCTGCAGTGATGGTGGAGGAAGAGTCCAGGGACAAGAGCAGAGGCGGGAGATCTCTATCTGAGCAGAAGAGACACCTCGTTCTGTGAGCTTCAGGAAAAGCTGTGCAAGCAGGTGGATTTAGAGAGAGCTTGCCTACTAGCTTCCATTTTCTCTAAGGAGTATGCAGCAGGAGTACTCACCGAAAGAGAGTGAGAAGCAGGCCCGATCTATTATGACCTGTGCTGGAAGTCTGGTTTGCCAGTACAGCTCACTTATGCCGTGTTAGATATGCTCTGCCTCTAAGAGCTGCGCCCCCTAGCGGCTGGAAGGCTTCACTGCACTTTCTTTTGAAATTACCTAAGCACACCTTAGGGAGAAATGGGGCGGGGGGGGGGGGGGTCCCGTAGTGTAACTGGGGAAGAAAAGAGTATAAGTGTATGTTCAGTAAAAAAGCAACTTTTATCTTACCTGAGAAAATAATCCTCCTCTGCCGATTAGAAGCCCCATGTTTTTGCAATCATCATGGATTTGGTTTACTTCTTCACGGGGAAGAGGCCGACGGCTCATCTGTAAATGCATTTCAAAATATTTCCCATGTTGTGTTTTCAGGGTTAAAGGCATTATTTCCAAGAGAAAAAAAAAGGGGGGGGGCGGGAGCAACTGAAACCACCAATGCTCTTTTCTTTCAGTCTCCGTCTCTGAAAGTGAACAAAGCTAGATCAGATTTAATTGCTGGGCTGGGCTTTGGCAGAGAGTGTTATTAAAAATATTTGTTCATATTCCCATTCGTCCTAAATTCCCAAAGACAATATAAAGTTGAACGCAGAGAGCCACCACCACTTGGCTCTGCTAATGGCTACCCTGGGAGTTTGGCTTCAAACTGGAGTCCGTGCCAGGATGTGGAAATTCTCTAACTCTTCACTTTGTTTTGCCCTTGTGAAGCGCTTGTTCCCAAGTCAGGAAATGGCTCAGCAGTTGCGCAAGGGCAGGAGCACAAGCTTCCCCTGGCCCACTGCAGGCCTGGGCATCTGGGGCGGGCCCAGAGTCCCCATCTTTCCTGCTGTCCAATTTGCTCTTTCTCCCAGGGTCAGGAGAGGTGAGCGCCATGGGAACCGACAGGCTGTTTTTAGGCCACCGGGCATCTGAGGCTGGGCCCTAGCTGGGGGCCAACATGGGCGACCCCTCTGGTGACAGTGAGCTGGGGGGCTTGTGTTTTCCTGTGTTTTCTCTCTTCCCACTCTCTTCCCTCTGACTGAATACTTTCCATTCTGACTGTACTTCCAGGCCCTCTTACCTAGAAACCTGTTCAAAATACAGCTGTGAGGGCCACTCAGCTTTATTTTTCTCCACGGGGCTTCCTACCCTCTCTCTGGGCTTTTGGACCTGTATCGCTCCCCCCATCCCACCCCCCACAGCTACTGCTCCACCTTGTTCCTGTTTGCTTAGCTGTCCTGTCCCAGTTCAGAATAAGGCTGGACCTCTCAGAGGTGTCTGTACCTGCCCTTTGTCTGTCTTAACAATTTGAGGTAAGGAAACGTTATTAAAAGTCTGAAAGTTCACCTGCGCCAGAATCTCATCCTGAAATTGTAGTTGTCATTGCATGGGTGAGAACCCATCAAGTGGGACATCTCACCTCTTCCTGGTGTCCCCCAAATATCATCACATATCTCTGCTCCCCCTAAGGATCTGGTCTACTAGAGTGGGAAAGCTTCTATAAAATACAGGAAATAAAACACTACAAAGTCATTCGGAGCTAAATTGTGTGGACTGGAAAGAAATCAGATGCTGCTTGAGGGGGAGGTCAGAGCCTGCACCTTCTGAAGGGTTTCCTGAGGGCAAGTTGGGTTGGTGGGCTCTTGGCTGACATTAGGGATCAGGAGGTGGACTTTGGCCACAGCTCAGCTACAGAGGCCAGGACCCTCCCTGCTCCCTTACCCTGTATCACGTCCTGGCATCATCCTCTGTGACTAACGAACATCTTGTACACATTCCACAGGAAAGAGCAGGCTTGGAAGCTACAGGGCAGAGCCACAGCACAGATTGCCAGAGCCCATGCTTGGGCTGCACCCCAACTGCATGTGAATCAAGTGGGCATGTTAGTCACTGACCTCTTGTAGGAGGGTTGGGGGGGTAGTGGAGCTTGATGCTAATCTCTTTTTCATTTTTTTGGGTAAATCTGTATTGAAATGACAAAGTAGGGTTATTGGGAAAACAACACCATGGAAGAACATCAAGGAAACATGGGAAGCTTTCCTTCCCCAAGTCCTACCCTAGGGAACAACCTCTTGATAATTTGGTGTGAACCACATATATTTCTATACAGCCCAGTACATCACCATGTGTAATGTGTTTTGTCATATTTTGCCCTTTACTTTTAACATTTTAGCATCTTTTCATGTTAATGTATTTAGACCTAATCTTTTGGAAAGATTACTGAGTAGTTGATTGTGTGATGGTAATATGCTTAATTGGTTCCCGTTTTTCATGATTATACATGTTTGTGTTTCATAGTGCACATGTATCTTCATGCTTGTGCATGTGTATATACACATATGTGCATATAAACTTCCATCTTTACATGCTTCTGTGTGTCCTTAGGGCACACGTCTCAGAGTAGAATTGCTAGATCAAAATGCATACGTTTAAATGTTTGATAGATACAGTTTGCTGCAAAGTATGTCCAATTTACATCCTCACTAGTAGTATGTGGGAATCTTGATTTGGGATTACTGTTCAGCATGATGATTTTAAGTTCTGAGCTATTGCAACTACATGAATGTGGTCTGAGTGTTGCATGATCCTGAAATCAATCAACAAACACTTAAACAGCACTTCCCAGCTGCATATTTCTGGACCTCAAAAGTGCATAATTTATTTAGAGAAATAAAGCATTTACACTTGAAATGGAGACAACATACACATGGGTTGAAAGCTCTTTTCCAAGGAGCTCTTTAGATAGTGAGAGCTAGGGGTGCTTGAAGGCTGGAGCCCCTGTTATGTGGGAGGTGTGATTAAGAGGTGGATCTTGAAAAGGCTTGAATTTTCAGAGGGAGGGAGGAAGAGGGAGAGAGGGAGGGAGGGGAGAGGAGGGAGAGCATAGTAGGGAAATGTTGGAGTGACATTTGCAGGTGGGAATGGGAATAACATTGAGGGTGAAATGAATAGAAAAGGGATGAAGGAGCTGGGGTTTAAATCTGGCTGTTCTGTCTCCAAAGTCCATGCTTATAACTACCAGTGGCAGAGCGAAGAGAAAAAGAGCCCATTCTGTAGATCCTATTTTCTAGCCAGTTTTACTTTTTCCATAATGAAGTTGGCACATCTTTCCATGCCAACATATACTGTGCATTATAGCATGGATGTCCCAGAGTTTATCTTGTTCTGTGTCAGTTACCGTTTGGATTTACTATCACAAATCGAGTTCTGTCGAACATCTCTGTTCATATGTCCTTGAGCAGAAGCTGGGATGTGGGATGGTGAAAAAGGGAAGGATCTTTTCTCCTGTTTCATTTTCCTCTGTGGAGGCTGGACTCTGAGGGAGTTCCTGGACTGGGAGTTAGGATGGATTCTTCTGAGCCATCCTAAAAGCCTGGACTGGATCACAAACTGAAGATGCTCGGCTGTGACACCAGAGGGCGTAGTGTTCTGTGATAATTAGTTGCCTGTTGACTCCCTCAGCTTTAATGTTTTATTTACCCACTCCAGCTTTCTAGTGGCTCTGTTATGCACTGTTGATGGAAGAGTCTCCAGCAATAGTCTGATCTCAACATTGGAAGAATTGCACATTGACCCTCCTAAGCTAGGGTGGCAAGAACTTCCCAAGGGCTGGATCCCTGTGGACGCACGTGAGGGTTAAAGTGTTAGTCTGTGATTCTTTCTCGTGCCAAGATTCTCTCCCTGCTGCTCTCCCCAGAGGATCTAGGCTTTTTCTGATGGAGAAGAGGGACAGTTTTCCAGTGACATAGACTGTAGGGGCAGGAGCAGAAACAAAGAGAAGGATTTGAGAGACACAACAAAGAAGCAACAGGACATGACCTTGGAGATAAGAGCAATGGTCACCGGTTATTTTCAGCATTGAGGTGGGGAGAGTAGAGCAGGGCAAGGGGAGTAAACCTGAAGTTGGGGGAGGATAACAGGTTTGCAGGAAAATGCTAAGTTCTATTGTTAACATTGACTTTGAAGTCACAGCGGGGAACCTCATCAGAGTCTCCCTGGCTCCTTGGGAGACTGAAACCCACATTCACTAAATCAAACACAAAACCCAGTAAGTAGATCTTCAAATCCTTACCTGAAGCCATCAGCTTCTTCGGACTTATCTCCACTAGCTCTCTGGGCCGACCACCCCTCTCCAGGACACACCCTTCCTTTGCCATATTTTCACTTAGAATATTCAGTCATGTCCAATGCCCTCTGCCCAGGCTGGCAAGAGCATCAGCCGCGTTTCCAATTACTCTCTCACCCCTCTAGAGCTCCTGCTGACTGGCTAGTGTTTTGCTCCTACTCAACACGTTTCTCCAGGCTCTGCTAAGTCTTGCTGCTTCCTACGCGCTCTGAGAACGAATGAAGTGAGCTTTCTGCCACCGCCCCTCACCCCACCTCCTGCACCCCAGGCAGCTCCCGTGAGCAGAGGGTGGGCACCCACCTTGTCCTCCACCATTTCTATCCCGATCATGAGGCCCTTGCCTCGGACATCTCCAATAATCTCAAATTCATCCCGCAGCTTGGCTAACTGCAGTAACATGTAGGTGCCAACTTCCTCACTGTTTTCCTGTAGTTTTTCTTCTTTAATTACCTGTGGAGAGAGAGAGAGAGAGAGAAGGTGTGCCCCAATGACTTGGTATTTCTAAAAGGTTCTAAAACTGACTGTGAAACATGGAAAGGAAAAGGTGTGGACTCTTTTCCAGAAGCTTCATCCCACAAATGGAATCCAGACACCAGTGTGGTCATGATTTGTTGTGAGGAGAAACATAAATGTCTGTATAGAGGGTAGGGACTGGTTTCTGCTTCGTCTTCAAAGTTGGGTAAGAACAGAGGAAAGAATAAAAGCTATGTTCCCAAGATACTGAATGAGATAAATGAAAGGTGAAAGAAAACAAGGTGATTTCACTCATGTGCGATATATTAAAAAAACAAGACCCAAAACCAGACTGCATCGAAATAAACCCTACATCAAAATCTGAGTAGAGACCCTCCCTGGTGGCGCAGCGGGTTAAAGCACAGCACTAAGAAGCTGAAACCACTTCCGCATGAGTTCGATTCCCGCCTGCCCCGGAGGTGACCACATGGCGTGGCAGACCTCTCCTGGCCCGCCCGCTGCTCCCCTCAGCAGTGTACTTCGTCGATCTGCCTGTTCTGCTCCCCACTCTGTCTCTGGTGAAGTCTTTTTCACCACCCCTGAGTCTCTGGCCTGTACTCCAGTTCTGTATGCACAAATAAATAAATCTTTAAAAAAAAAAATCTGAGTAGAATTGAAGCTACCTGAGGAAAGGTGCGCAGAGGGGGAGGGGCTGTGGGTCCTTGGTGGGTGTGATGTAACATGCATCTGCAGAGGCGTGTGCCTGTTGACAGACCACGTCATACACAGCAGAGCACACCAGCGTCACCGTGGTGGAAAGGGTCAATGCAAAGCAGAATAAAGGCTCTGTAAGTGTAATCTGTAGCATGGGTTCAGAGCCCCGAGGTTCACGCTTGTCTGGTTTTGCAGAGAACCGTGAGACCAAGGCTCCCATGAAGGACATGTCCCGCGTGCTTGCCCGACTTGGGCTTGCTGACCTTTGTTCAGCAGCCCTGGCCCAGAAGCAGGCTATTATTGCCCAAGTGCCCACGCAGGACCCTGGCCACACAAGCTGAGCTGACCTGTGCATGCCCAGTGCCAGGGCGCCTGAACAAATAAAAGGATTTTCACCTCTTCAGTTCAGAAACATCACTGGTTTCTGATTGTGATATGCTACTTGTGATATACCACTTTTCTATCAAGCTGATAGCAATCGCATGCCTCCAGGCTGGAATGAAGTTTTTAAGACTTATTTGTTCGCTCTTGCTCTCAGCACCTTCCAAATTGATGGCGGTTAATACAGCACTTGAAAAAAAAGGTGGCAAACGCTCAAAGAATAAACGACATGTTCCCACCCACACTGGCTCATTTTGCGATTGAATCATATAAGAACATACTTCGTTATTAAATAGGATGGCTTTTACTTATTTATTTTTATTTAAGGCCCTCCCTGGTGGCTCAGTGGGTCAGGACGCAGCACTGCAAGCTATCTGCAGTTGCTTCAGTGTGAGTTTGATTCCCGGCCCCGGAGTGACCCACATGGCACAGCAGACCTGTTGGGGACCGAGACCAGGACTTTGCCTCCTATGCACAAAACAACACTTGATTGGAACTTAGAGTAAACATCCTGACTGAGAATGCAGCACACCTGAATCCCTTCCCCCACTCTCCTTCCTTTCCCGTTCAGCAAGCTTTGGCGCCAAAGAGACAAAGAGATGACGATGGATCCCTCCCCTCAGACCCACTGGCCTTTAAGACATTAGACCAACAGACCACCCCCCGCCCGTACCTTCTGTGCCGCCATCAAGTATATATATATGACTGTTGTAAGAATAAAGAACACTCGCACGTGTCTCCGTCTTTGCCTTCTTCCTCGCGCTGTCCCTGGGGCTCTACCCCCTCGTCATGCGGGTCAAGGCCCGCCACACAGACCTCTCCTGACTCGCCTGCTGCTCCCCTCAGCAGTGTACTTCGTCGATCTGCCTGTTCTGCTCCCCACTCTGTCTCTGGTGAATACTCTCATCACCCCTGAGCCTCTGGCCTGTACCCAAATTCTGAATGCATAAATAAATAAATAAATCCTTTAAAAAATGCTTTTACATTTCATTTTTTGAGTGAGTAAATCATGTTTTGTGCAGAAATCAGAAAATAGGAAAGGATACAAGGTAAGAAAGACCCACACCTGTCCCTGCTCCCTCAACCACCCAACTCCCCTCCCCACAAACTCTTGCTGTTCATTCCTTGGACATTTTTCCAGAAATGTGTTATACATGTGTAAATAAACACTACTGTGTATATTAGCAAGAGCAATTAAAAATCAGTTTTTGAACAGATGAAAGCCTAGGCTAATAAACCCTCTGAGTGGGGCTGAACACCCATTCACAAGAGCTGAAACTGGGCCCTCCCTAGTGGCACAGTACATTAAAGCACAGCAGTATGAAGCTATAGCCTCAGCTGCTTCAGCATGAGCTCAGTCCCCAGCCCGGCCAGGGAACTGACCCACATAGCACAGCAGACCTCTCCTGACCTACCCACTGCTGCCCTCAGCAGTGTGTTTCAGTCGATCTGCCTGTTCTGCTCCCCACTCTGTCTGGTGAATCCTCTCACTGCCCCTGCACCTCTGGCCTGTACCCCAGTTTTGTTGCATAAATAAATTAAAAAGCAACTACAACAACAAAAACTGCTGGAACAATTCTTGTCCTCACAAGGGGGCCGTTCTCTTTGAGGCTTGAGTTTACGAGTATATAAGAGAAAACTAAGGATGGCAGCTGCAAATGCTTGGAAGAGACCATTCAAATGACAGACATTCCAGGTCACCTGTTGGTCACCCAGGCAGGCACGTGAAGGTTATATGTTATCCAATATTTTCCATACCCAAACTAGATTGTACAAAAAGGGTGAAGTTGCAGGGCTCATGGAGAAGTAAATTCATCAGGTGGTCACTATCCAGCTTAGGAGCAGGATGGGGTTCTCAAAACAGGCGTGTGTGTGTGGAACGGTGACGGAATGAAGCGAGAGCTGAGGTCCGGGAACGTACCTCAAGCACAGCGGACCCGATGGCACAGGCCAGGGGGTTCCCTCCAAAGGTGTTGAAGTGAAGCAGGCGTTTAGCCAAGGACTTGGCAATCTCTGGGGGAGAAAATAAAAGGAGGATAAAGAATGACACAGTCCTATCTATAATCTCTACCACACTATGGATTATACAGCGACCCCCAAATAATGTTGCATGATAACAGTGAGAAAAAGTTAACTCGCATATCAATTAGTCTCTGGTGAAATTGGTTTCATTCTGGTATTTCACTTAAAGTCAGTTTCTAAAAACCTCCCAACTGTGGTGAGGACTTACTGTACTGATTTTCATGTTGTAAACAGTCTCACATCTAATTCAGTTTTTACTCACCTGCGAGTGTTTGTTATAGACAGAATTGTGTCCCTGCCAAATTCATATGTTGAAACCTTTATCCCCAACATGACTGTATTTGGAGATGGGGACTTTAGGGAGGTAGTTTAGATTAAGGACTTCATAAGGGTGGGATCTGAGTGTCCTTATAAGAAGAGAAACCAGAGCTCGCTCTCTGTGCAAAAGGGTATGTGAAGTCACAGCAATGAGAGGGTCGTGTACACGAGAGACTTCGCGGGATACCAGCTCAGCTGGCATCTTGAGTTTGGACTTCTATTTCCAGGCCTGGGACAAAATAAATGTTGTTTAAAGTCACGCAGCCTGTGATTTCTTGTTATGGCAGCCCTAACTCACTATGCACTAGATAAGAGAAATAGCTTCTTGAGAGTTTTGGTAACCAAATCTTTAATGTGTGGTGTGAATGAAAAATACCTTAAAGCTTGATTTGTGGAATTTACATGGAGTCTTCCCCCACCACACACACACACACACACACACACACACACACACACACACACACACACTCCACTCTTGGGGCTAAAAGGAAATATATCTTTATCTTGAGATGTTTATCTCTAACCAAATCTCATAGGAAGGGCTTAGTGACATATTTCTGGATTGTTTCGGGGGACAGGGAGGGTACTTCGGGACATCATACTTCACGTTCTACATCCACATGGTTGCCTCTGAAGTATCTGTGAAAGTCCACATGTGGATGCAGAAAGTGAAAATATAATTCCTCCATTTGCCCCACCATTGGGCAGACAGGCTGTTTTCTTCTTTCATAGCTCGAGGAAGGTATCATGTAATTTCCATCGCTCCAGCCCACCTGAGTTACAATGCACCTTCTTTATACCATCACCAGTGCAGGGGGCCCAGAAGCAAGCACACCCTTCCCGCAGGCCCTACCTGGAGTTGTCACAACTGCTGCCATGGGGAAGCCATTCCCAATCCCTTTGGCCATGGTGACAATGTCTGGCAGGACCCCGTGGGTTTGGAAGCCCCAGAAGTGTGAGCCCAACCTTCCAAATCCTGTCTGCACCTGGTGGAAACAAACCCCAAGCCATTGGGAACGGTCCAAGAAATGCTGGTTTTTCGGGCTCTCCCATCTTCCTTTTGCTCTCCCTCCTCTGCCATCTCCCGGTTTTATCACGGACATAGCTTACTCTGCACAGAGCTTTTATGCATCGAGTCATTTACTAGCTGTGCAAGGCTGGGTGTATTATTCTAAGCCCTCCTCTGAATTTCTGCTAACTCACCTGTCAGCAGAAATGCTAAGAGCCACGTATCACAGGGCGCTGTGGGCGGCCATCTAAATAATGCATGTGAAATGGATCGTTGTGATGTGCAAAGATAAGGGTTTCCAGTGCTAAGGCAGCGAGGGGTGAGGACAGAGAAGCTGCACTCTGCCTACGTTGCAGGAAGCAGGAGTTGCATCAGTACAGCGAGGCTGTGGCACCTCCCGTCAACCTTAGGCTCGCATTCTCCTCCTGGGAAGGGCCTAGTTGAGACAGTTGACTCAGGATCGAACGCTAATCTAGAAATTTTAATAATCTAGATGGAGACAAGATTCTCAGTTGTTTTGGCATAGGCTGTGCTCTGTTTCTAGACGAACTGCTCCCTGCTGCTTCTTGCCAATTCCGATTGTTCTTCAACTCCCAGTTCATCATCATTTGGGGGAGGACTTTCCAGACCCCCAGCAGGGTCCCCCCTGGAGGGAGCAGAACATGGGCCATTGGGATCCCTCCTGGTGGACCGTTACTGCCAGTGTACGACGATGTCTGATGACAGCAACTTGGCCTTACTCCTTTCTTTATCCACGACACCTAGCAGAGTGCTGGCCACAGAGCAGACACACTGTACAATGATGTGACCGACACGCTGCTTGACTGAGACACAGACATTTGCATCAGATTCTAGGACAGTTTCTTGCTCACTTTCTGGTTCTCAGCCTCTCTGCTTCTGTTTGTCTTTCTGTGTCTACCTCCACACAAACACACACCGCAGGCAGAGCTACGGGCGTTTGAAACTGGTCCTGCATACATCTAGAAGTGCAAGTTTTCTTCTGATTTCCCCCTGCTTTTCTTTTCAGGGTGGGGATTTCATGATTTAGATTTAGAGGAATTCAAAGGAGCACAAACAGTGGAGGAGGAGCTGAGACATGGGAGTCAGACAGGCCTGGCACCAGTATGCGTTTCTGTTTCTTAGTCATGCACCTGCTGAATCATCCAGATGGAAGACGGTAGAAAGAGCTCGTGGCAAACACATCTTTGGTCTTCCTGCCTAGGGGCTTTTCTAACTCAGTACAGTAAATAAGGCGTGAACAATCAGATGTCTTGGACAACTCCGAGTACAGTAAACAGGTTGGTCACCTAGAAAGTATCAGTTTCACAGAATTTTCCAGTAGAACAGCTGTGACTCATCTATGAGGTCGTGTCTTGTGGGAGTAGCGTACCCTAGTGAGAGACGCCGAGCACGGCTATGACAGGCCTGGGTGGGGACATGCGCATGTGCCCCGTCTCGGAGCCATCTCGGAGCAGTTGGTCTGGAACGTAAGTGGCGCTCAGGCTGGAGCCGCGGGCGCGCCCTGCCCAGATTGGCCCCAGAAGCGGCCATTTTGGTCTTTGATTCCAAAGTCTTCATTTTAAAGAAGCGAAAGCCAAGGCTAGCTAGCTAGGGTGGCTGGCACGAGATGGTTGGCCCTGCACTCAGGTTTCCACCCCAGGCCCTCCGTCCTCGCCATCTGCGCCTCTGGACACCACTGTGCTCCCTTCCTGGGCCGCGGCTGGGCAGCGTGGCTCGGTAGTCTCGGAGCTGGGTCCGTCCCCACAGGCTGATGACGCCCACAGATGATTTAACCATCTTGAGTTTCAATTCACTTCTTTCTAAAAAGGGGCTAGTTAACACCAGGATGGACCTATAGGATTGGCACGGCAGGTTGGGCTGTCCATGTGGTCAGCAGTCCACATCCGGCAACAGAGACCTGGCTCCACGGGAAGAAATTGCAGGCAGCTCATCTCAAGACCCTGCCTGTGTCTACGCGGGTGTATCTTCTAACAAACCCTTCCCTTTCAGAGGCAGCTCTTTCGGCCCACGTGTGTCTATGCAAGTGTCTTCTCCTTTTTCCTTCTCTAATAAGCCTGGCCTTTTGGGATAAAGAATAAAAGAAATTGCAAAAGAATTCTGGAGGGACAGTCTAGTGTCTGCTGCAGGGAATCTTTAATTGAAGAAAACCGTTCAGGCAAAGACCGTGGAGCTGAAAGAGGTTCCGGCCTGTCCTGGGTGGGTGTAACCACTTGGGGAGAATTGTGATGGTCACCCAAGCGTACGCTGGGAGCGCCTGAACAGCACTGCTGGCCAACCTCTGGCCTTCTGCTCTCCATTCCTAGTCTCAGTGTGCAAACTGCTCTTTCTCTGATACACTCTACTATGAAGTGTGATTCCAAGGAAATGGATCCTTCTTAAAAACACAGGCTAGAACTCACAGTGCCATGAATTTTATGTCCCTCAATGTTGTCTTCTGGAGGAACTGGAGGCTTCTTCTAATGATGTTGTCTTAAGTCAAGCAATTTTAGAACTTTATAAAACTGAATATCTATTTTGAATATCTACCATGATGGTCCTCATGATTTTGAGCTGTTTTTTTCTTTTAAAATATCACCTCCATACATGTCATTATGGTAAGAGGAATGTTGCTAGGCTAATTCATACAATTTTGATAAAAATTAACATGAAAACTTGGTGATATGATTCAACTTCCTATGTGGTTTGTAGCTGTCACTGATGCAATTTGCAAATTGGAATTTAAAACAGATGTTCAGCGACACAGACTCACCTATGTCTGATAACACTGATTTGACAGAGCTAAATTTGGATGTTTAAATGCTGGCTTGTTAATGGGACCATCTCATTTACCAACTAGGCATACAGTTAACTAGCAAAAACTTCATTACTTTATGTCCCCTTGGAACTCCTAGATGCTTTCTGCTTGGAATTCAGGGGAGTGTTAAAAGAGCCATCTTCCGGCCCTCCCTGGTGGCACAGCTGGTCAAAGCACAGCACTAAGAAGCTGAGGCCACTTCCATATGCATTCAATCCCTGCGTGCCCCGGAGGTGACCACATGGTGTGGCAGACCTCTCCTGACGCCTGCTGCTCCCCTCCGCAGTGTACTTCCTCAATCTGCCTGTTCTGTTCCCCACTCTGTCCTTGGTGAAGCCTCTCACCGCCCCTGAGCCCCTGGCCTGTACCCCAGTCTTGTATGTACAAGTAAATAAATCTTAAAAAAAAAAAAGAGCCTTCTTCCATGTCTTTTTGTTCCTGAACACACGGTCACACCTATTCCTGGTCACTTACCTCGTCTGCAATGCACACACCTCCCCGCTCTCGTACCAGCTCGAAGGCTTCTTTCAGAAATCCTTTTGGATACTGAACAACTCCGTTCACCCCCTGCCAAAGACCAAACCATGAAGACCTATAATAACAGCATAGGCCTTTGAAAGTATTAAAAAGGGGGAAAAAGGGGATGAGGGGGAGGAGAGAGTAGACAGTTCATTAACATCATTAGCAGAGCAATACTCTAGATTTTAGTCTCTAGAATTGTTCCAGCTCTGGATGACCAGAGGAGTGCTGCTCTTCTGGAAAAGGGGGCAAATGTTCATTCTCTTTTGAGATTAGAAAAAAATAGATTAAGGGATTTTGTAAGATTAAAGAAAGGGTGGACATTAAACAACCAAAACAGTCAAAGTTTTATTTTCTTTAGAATGTTAGCAACTCAATGGTTTCATCATTTTTTTTTTAAAGCTCAGTGGAAAATGAGGGTCCTCATTTTTCAGGGAGACCAAGAGAATAAATTACTTCTGGAGAAAGACAGCAGTAGTCACTTCAACAACTTGGACATTTCAACAACTTGGACTTTTCTAGATGATCTGGGATTCAAACCCTCTGAGCATTTAATATTCAGTTTAACTGATGTCTCCGGTTAATATACCTACTTGAATTGGCTCTGCAAAAAATCCAGCAATGGATTTGGCCACAGTGGTGCTCAGAGTGTCTTTGAACTGTTCGATATACTGGTCTTTCGCTTGGCAGCAGCCTGCAACACACAAAACACAGAGCTTGAAGATGTGACCATGGCACCTAGATGGGAAATGTGGAAAAAAAAAAAAAAGAGCAGATGAGTTCATTGACCAGACTCCCTCCTAATACAGCAAACTAGCCCGGGAGGCATCGACTTCTGAAGGAGGACATTTTGTCAGAATAACTTGTACTCTGCTTCTAACGGCCGTACTCAGATTGACTCAGGAATAAACAAACCACTTCAGTGGCTTCTGTTTGGGGAAGACGTGCCTGGAAGGGCCATAGAGTCTGGTATGAATTGTTTGGCCACAGATGTCTACTCTCTCAGCTGGGTAGATTGAACTGAAATGCAATTGTGGTGTGTTTACTTTATTAGAAAAGAACAGTATTTTCCTTTCCCTTAGACTGTCAGGTCATCTGTTGTACCATTTTAAAGCTACAAAGTGTCTCAGACTTTGGAGGTTGTAAGTGCTTGTAGGAATTAGAATCAGCCTAAGGAGAAATGTACAAAGTGCAAGGCCTCCCTGGGTATAGCCCTTGGCACTCTGTCTGGTCTGGTCTCAGGTCTCCCCTCCCTTTAAAGCCAGCGTCAACTACAGCAGGACTCTACCTGGTTCATTTCTGAAATCTCTGCCCACGTGGGTGCTTGCTAAATGTTTAATGCATCAACGAGGGAAGTAAATGGTAGAAATTGTGGCTAGAGTGAGACATTGCACAATTTTACCTGCAGATATTTCTCATCTGGAAACAGGTAAGAGTGGTCCAGCCATCTAGATTTTCGATTCATTGGCTCTCTTCCCGCCAGGGTTTCATCTGCTGATACACCCACTCACCCCATTTGAAACCGTTTTAAATTTCAGTTGTTGCTTTTTTGTTACTAAAATAGATAGTCCTTTTCAAAATTTGCTCTGTCATTCTCTAAATTCCTTATCCTCGGCACATATTTCCAAAGTGGTATTTCCTTTTATGTAAACACATTAAGCCTATTCACTTGATAGTCTGATCATCCGCTCGGCGGTGGGTCTCCAGGTTTCTGGATGGGGCGTCTCTCTTATCAGAGCCCACCCTCTTTCTGGGCCCTGGGTTTTGTCGTCTGTTTCCTATAGTGCACAGAGTCCTAACTGTGCAGCTCTAGTCAACGGGTTTATCCAGTGTCCTCCTACCAAAGCTGGCTCCACTGCTTTGCTGGTCTCTTTGGGTTTCTGAGGATTCTTCTTTCTGGTGTTGATGCTGTGAAGAGAATATGTTTTGAGCTTGCCCGGAACTTTTACCTGTTTTTAGCTGGGGATAACCCAGGCTGTCATGCTACCACTAACACCTGCCCATCTCACTGAGCCATCTTAGTAGCTCAGTTTGTACTTCCACTCCGCTTAATGATGCTAGAAATACTCCTGCCGTGGTGACAGCATCCCTCCATCAGACATCACAGACAGACAGACATGACATGGGAGGACAAGAGACGGGGAAGTTGATGCAGGACACTTGTTCAGGCTTCAGAAGCCTCTGTCTGAATGTCATCACTAAAGGTAGAAACAGGCAGAACCTTCTGGAATAACAAAGTTCCCGGGCTGGTGATGTCCATATGTGGATGGACCTCTTGGGTTTTCATCACACTCGTAACTAGTTCTAAAGCGCTCCTCATAATCTCTAGTCTTACACAATGGTGAACAGGAGGAAGCGGAGGGAGGGACGGGTGTGGCGGAGACCCCAGCACCAGCAACAGTGAAGACAAGTGGGGAGATGTGTCACCATTCTGTTCGCATGCTTTCTGAGAGGCGTGCTTATACCCCTGTCTCCTGAGACCAGAGAAAAGGAGTAGAAACCTTCAGCCATTTCCACTGCAGTACAGACATAACTTCATTAAAACCTGGGAGAAACTATCTGGCTCTACTATGTTCTAGTCCACATATGATGTCTGGGAGAGCTTGCTTAGCAGAAATACCAGATATTTTTGGCTAGTTGGTTTTGGGGGTGGGAAGAAAGCACATTTTTAGCATCAGTCATGTTGTTTGATGGACGGGATAAAGCAGACAAATGAATCTATGCTTCTAGAGATTGAAATGTCATATTTTTAGTAGGGAAAACAATCTACACAGAGCCCAACGGATGGGTCAGACCTTTGCTCAAAAGCTTTTTACTGCATTTCATGTCATTTCATTGACTCATTGCTGCAACTCCAGACCAGGCTGTCTCCGGAGAGACTTGGGGCATTGGCGTCACTATGACAACACCAGGGGCCAGCTGTGGCGTTCGGCTGAGATGCCGTGCAAGCGTAGAGTTGGGTTGGAAGTTTGAATTTTTGATGGTGGTATGGAAAAAGTTAAGCAGAGAAGGGAACCAAGAAAAGCAGTAATTTTTGAGAAAAAAAATCTTACCTTGTAGGAGGAGAATAACATGGTCAGTGCGAGGTGTGGGCAGTGGGTGTTTAGAGGTGAATTTTATCACAGGCTACATTTGAAATTCAGGCCTGACCTAAGCACTTGTAAGAAGAGCTCTGTGGGGACTGGGGCTGGTGTAGGAAGTTCATAAAACCTACCAATATAAACATTTTTATCTGGCTTACATAATGGATCCTTCCTCTGCCTGTGCAGGAAGCGATGATGTAATCCCAAGATAAAAGTAATCACTGCCAAGACAGGGGCTGCATGGATCCAGAGAGCTGGGTCTGAGAGGCACTGAGTTACTGAGTTCTAGAATCTTCTGTTTGCTAAGTATTTACATAGTAAGATGCATTTGTAAACAGATACAAATAAGCTGTTTTAAAGCTCTAAAGAGGAACCTCCTTTTGCATTCCAGTTCTTTGTATACAAAAGCGTGCTTAGTCTTGTCTTTCAAAGATAGGTATTAGGAAACCAGCTGACTTCAGTTACCACAGAGTCAGAGAAATGGAAATGGATGACTGTCTTTATCATGCAGCTTCCAGAAGCCACTAAAGAACTGACCCTGGGTTCTGAGATTTTCTAGTTGGCCTAAGGCAGAGGAGGTCGGCAGGAAGAAGAGAGAGGCGGACACATAGAAGGGGCAGGGAGAGGAACGGACTGTGTCTTGAGTGCTTCTGCCTCCAGAGTTCTGGGCTGGCAGTTTTGCCATCAGATGGAGGCCTGAGAGCTGCATTCAACCAATTTCAGTTCTTCAGGCCTCAGAAGCACAACATACCGATGAGGCGGCCCCGGCTGTTACATGCTTTCTTTACAAAAAGACCTGTGATATGGGACAGGCAAGCAGGCACCTCTGTTGCCGCTATCTTCACTTTACAAATGAGGAAAGTGGAGCAAAGGATGGAGCTTTTGATCAAGGCAGGTGCATGGTCACGGCAGGGGAGGAGTCAGGTCTTCTGAATTCCGGTGTGACGTCCATCCTGACCAGCAGACCGGGAGTACCTGGAAGCCGGGGTTCATCCTCCTGGTGCATCAGTTTGAGCTCAGTGGTTGGGAACCAGAAGACTTGGGGGTCAAGTCCTCTGCTTAAAGGTGTGGACTCCAGGTTCCTCAACTTTAAAAGGATAGTTTGAATTTTAGCTTCAAACTCCCTCATGGTTTTAAGTTCTGTGACCGTGACATTGTGTTCCAGTGCTCATCTTACCCACCTACCTCCATTTTGCCATTATCCCAGTTTTAAGTAGACTGTGGCTTTTCTTCCTTTCAAAGCTGTTTTTTATGACTTTTATTTGCATTCTTCTCTCAGCCTGTGACTCACGCTACTCCATTACAGATCATTTGGCTGGAGCGTTTAGTTCTTTCTTCCAGGACCACTCAGGAACAGCCATTCACAAGGTCTTGAACTGTGATTGCCAGTCTGAGGTGGGGTCAGCTGATTAGCGAGAACAGATGCTGTTTCCATGCCTCCTCTCCCTCGTTTTAAGAATAGGCAAGGAATACGAACAGGAATGTTACTGACAAATAGAAACTTCCCTTGTGAGAAAGCCTTAAAATCATGCGCGAGAAGGCAGCAGCCTTTGGGAATGGCCCTGTGCTTTGACAGATGCCTGTATTCTCCTGGCATTTGGGGTGGTGGTGGGTGGGGAGTTTAACTGGAATTTTGAGGTTTACAGAAGAATTCTCTTCCTTCTCCCCTTCTTCATTGGGAATTGACAATTCCACAGCCAGGTTTTCTTTTTCTTTTTTTTTTTTCACAGATTTTTTTTTTTAAAAGATTTATTTATTTGTTCATACAGAACTGGGATACAGGCCAGAGGTGCAGGGATGGTGAGAGGCTTCACCAGAGACAGAGTGGGGAGCAGAACAGGCAGATCGATGAAGTACACTGCTGAGGGGAGCAGCGGGCAGGTCAGGAGAGGTCTGCCGCGCCATGTGGTCACCTCCAAGGCAGGGGGGGATCGAACTCATGCTGAAGTGGCTTTTTAGTCTCTTAGTGTAGTGCTTTAACCTGCTGCGCCATCAGGGAGGGCCCAGTCAGGTTTTCTTTTAAAGTTGATTCCAAAACAATTGCTAATAGTACTTACAGCTCCTTTAATGAAATACCAGGCAAGTGTCTGTTTTCCATGTAGACCTGATAAAGCAGGTGACGTGCTGGTGGTGCAGAGGCCGTGGGAATGATGTGTGATGTCCATGAGGGGTTAGTTCTGGTTTTGCTTCCTTGGCTTTTCCTTTCCACTTCCAGTTCTTCAGATCTGTTCACTCAGAAATGGTCTCTCATTCCTCCAAGTTCCTTCTACCCTCCACCCCATCCCACTTTTCACCATGTCCCTCCTCCCTGCCTGGCTGACCTGGCGCACAGCTGCACTTCCTAACTGTTTGCACTGGAGAATCTCGACAGTGGCTTCCTCCCCAAGGGCCACGGAAAACATCTGGGCACATTGTCTGAAAATGACAAGAGGGGTTTGACAAAATATGAACACAAGACAGCCGATTTGGAGAGCATATGTTACCAATCTTAATTTGA